ATTATATATAAACCAGATAATTAGCAATTATTTTTTAGCCAACAGTTCATGGATAAAGTACATTTCAAAGCACAGTATTTTAAAATCTTTTGATATTTCTCAAGGCAAGAAGCAAACAAGGACAGGAATGACCAAAATGAAGAAAAACACAAGAGAAAATATTCTGTTCCCGAAGGAAGTAAAACCTTCCATGGTAATATTTTGTCTCACAATATTAATACCTATTAAAAAAAAAACATTGTATACGCCATGTATCGGCCAACTCTAAAAAAACATAAACCCTCCAGGACTCTCTTTGAATAAAGCAGGCTGGCTGCCTTTGTTAATCCATGAGGAGTCAATGACTAAATATCTAAAAGTATGGCAATTCTTAGTTATTAGTTTTAGATATATTGCCCGTACTTACATTCTAATAAAAATCAAGTTGAAACAGTGGAATTTATGCAGGCAGGGAAGAAAAAAGCCCAAGCCAGACGTTAATAGAGATTTGCACTTTGTGAAATTCCCATCAGGGTGCCGGGCTCATTAAGGTTTATTAAGTGGCAGCTCAGATGAACAATAGGAGGTGTGTGCCCTGTGGCAGGCCTGCAGGCTGTCTTACAGTGATAGGAGCTCCCCTGGGCTGCTCCTCAGCCATGCTTCTCAGAGTGGCTCAAGGTTTCCACACTTCACAGCACAGCACAGAGAGGTGCTCCGGCTATATTAGAATCCAAATGAAAATTCTTGACTCTCTCAACTCATTTCCTGGGCTCGGCTTTTCTTGCAGATAAGCGACAATGGGCGGCAACGCTGGACACCGCCAAGCTGAAATGATTCACATTAATAATTTGCGCCGGTACTTGGGGCCAGATAAGCGCAGTTGTTCTTTGAAGGAAAAATCAATTTGGAAGAAAAACCCGATGCCATTCCATGGTTACGGTTGTTTTTTTCTTTGCTAACAAAATATACAGCGCTTGTTGCAAAACATTTTTTTTTCAGAATTGCGTGTGGACATAAAAAATATTGATCCGTTAGACCTAAGCACATAACCATCCAGCGGTTTACCGAGTAAGAGATAAAGGACACCGTAATCTTTGGCTAGTGTCCTTTGGCAGACCAATGATTAATCTGGTACTTAATCTGTAAAATATGGCGCAAAAAGATGGTGTTTGGGTTATAAATAACATAGCATCAAGAAAGACCTTTTTTCTAGATAATAGCCATAGTCCTGGATGCTGTATTTCTTAAACAGCACAAATGGATAATGATTTTATATAAATACTGTGGCATTGTAAGCTTATGTCCTCTGTTACCTTTGTTTTATTCAGTTATGCAGTAAGAGTTCTGTTATTGTTGTGTTCTATCATGTTTTATGTATTTTTAAGTTATATAGAATTCTCTGTTTCAGTCTGTAGATAGGCTTACTTTAATATACGTTTCCTTGTTTTCCAACTGGTCATGCTGGGTAATGTGACAAGGAAGAAAGGCAGAGATACAGTATCAGGGAGAGAGAGAGAAGTAAGGTGCAAATGTGCATGATAAAAGAATATCAGTTTGCTTCCAGTTCTCATCCTTGCATGCAGAGTGTTCAACCACCACCACACAAACCCTACAGCACCTCTTACAACACCATTAGAAAATATTTTGTCTCGCTATTCTTTTACAGGACATAAATCATTGATTTTTTAAATGGGCAAACACTGTGAATCATTTGATTCACAGTGTGGGACAATTTAAAAAAATCAATGATTTATTTATGACTTACTTGCCTTTCTTAAAACAGATTAATCTTATGTTTTCTGAGTCACGTTAATACCACTGTTTTGATGTCATATTTGGCAGAAGCTGACATGCATGATTTTGACTGAAGATAAACCAGTGGAAAATTTCACTCCATGTTTTCTGAGTTAACCTTTGTGGTCATATGTTTTACTCTGGCTTGTCTTCCTATTTTTCATCATTGAAAAATGTTGCACTTTAACCTGATAAATAATTTCTAACTTCTTATTTGGTGTTTATGGTGTCCTGCACTGTACATTTAATTCTGGCCTAAATGTGCTTGAAATTCAAAGAATGCATTTTATCCCGATAGTCTTTATATAATTCTTAAACATAATCAAATCTTTTGACTTTCACACCAGTTTAATATTGGGTTGATCTAGTTTGTTTGATTGCTTGTAGTTCCTGTAATTGATCCTCTTGTGCAGAATTTCATATAAAGAAGCCAAGGTGTGAGCTTCAACACCATTGGTGGATATCTTGTTCCAGTCTTCCACAACCATTTGTGTAAAAAGTGCCCCTTGTTCTCATTATTTAATATAATACCCCTTAGTTTAGGCTAATGTCCTCTGGTTTATGCTCCACCGTGATCCTGAAGATATCAACTAAAGCTCAATACATTTTGAAGTTTGAATATGGAATACTTTAATCGAGTCTTCATTGCTGTCTTCATTATTTAAAATGAAAAAGATTCACTTGTTATAAGTCACAGCAAGACAATCTTTTCCAGACTGCTCCAGAGCATCAAAGTCTTTCAGCTATGAAGTGACCAAAACTGTACTGTAAGTATTCTAAATTAGGTCTTACTATTGCATATCACAATTTTAACATAAAACCCCCTAATCTAATACTCCACACTTCCATCCATCGTTTCCTAACCGATTTATCCAATTCAGGGTTGAGGAAGACCCAGAGCCTATATCAGCAAGCAACACGAACAAGGGAAGATACTGTACATTGTGGATGGGACGCCAGTCAATGGCAGGGCACACACAGACAGAAACACACACTCACACCAGGGCCAATTTTCCTACTCGTATATGGGAGCACCTGGTGGAAACCAATGCAAACACAGAGAGAATATACAAACCCCAGCCGTATAACACCCCAGGATCTGAACCCAGGGCCATGGCACTGTGAAGCACCAATGCTAACCACTGCGCCACACTAACCAAATTCTCCACACTTCCCTACTCATTAAATGTAATCTACCAACAGTTTGCCCAGTGCTGCAATTAGTATAAGTCTTTCTGAATTATCTGTACTGCTTTGAATTCTTCTTCGCTTGCCCATCTCTTTTCTTATCATCTGTTGACTTGTTTGCTGACTTTATCAGGATGTATAGTAGATAATGTACATTAATTATGAAGTGCTGTGGAACTATTGCTTTTTACCAACTTGAGCTATTTGCAGGGATAATATCTATCATTTAAAATTTAAACCGTCTTACCAATAAAATGAGCAACAATGTGGTACAGTGAATGTTCTCAAACTCATCTCTGCAGGACTGCAGACTGATAGCTTCCTTAAGGACCTAATTGAACAAATAATTGGCTCAGTGTGAGCAGTTTACAGATTCTTCCAGAACCTCAGCTCCTGCTGATTTAAAATAAATCTCCAAAACCCACTGGAATACACTTTCCAGGACAGGGCTTGTACACTCTGAACTAATGACTTATGACCTGAAGAAAAAAAAGAAATGTAATACATGAAATGAAATTAATCAAATTATTCAATCAATTAAATAATCCTGGATTCCTGGAATCTGAGACAGCCGAGCTTCCCTATGAAGCTCAGCAATACTGTATCTTGTCTGGTTGTTGCACATGACTAAAGAAGCCTGAGATCAGCTTTGATTCCTCTGCCTGGATGCCATAAAGGTCTACTGTCAAAGGAATGCTGAGGCATCGGGATCACCAAAGCTTTGCTCTAATGTCACTATCCCACGTCAAGACTGCTGATTTCTCAGGCACTGTGGCTCCTCTTGTGCAGTTCAATGCTTTTAAGAGGAAAATCTATTGATTCCATTAGTACACTTACAGGCAATTAAAATGAAGAATTGTATCAGATGATAAATAGACAGTTGGTGGCATGGTAGCACATTGGTTAGCATTACTGCCTGGCAGCACTGAGGGCCTGTGTTCCAATCTGCACCTGGGGTGCTCTCCGCGTGGAGTTGAGCTTTTCTCCCAGTTTTCGTGTGGGTTTCCTCCCACAGTCCAAAAACATGCATGTAGGGTAAGTGGCTTCTAGGAAAACTGGCCCTGTTGTGAGTGTGAGTTTCTCTATGTGTTTGTATATCTGCAATGGACTGGCCTCCTGTCCAGGGTTTACCCTGCCTTGTGCCCGTTGCTTGCTGGGATAGACTCTGGCTTCTCCATGACCCTGTACTGGATAAAGTGGTTAGAAAATGGATGGATGGTTACATACAGTCTGACACTTTCCTGTGATGTTTGAGCTCCCCAACTGTTCTTTTTTATACCATTATATGCTGCACAGTATGTTTGTGCCAGAAAATACCGGTCCTTGGTAAATACCATGCTAATCTGAAACACTACAGTACTTTTGTGGCAATATGTTGCAGTAAGTTTCCTCTATTTCGTTAGTTAAGAGTGAATTTTTCTGGGCATTCATCTACCCCAGTCGAGACACAGACTTGACCCTGTAACCATAGCACGTTGCATTGGTATTCATAGAGTCATTCATCACTGCTGACAACTTGCCAGCACTCAGCTGTACTATTACAGCATTTTCAGGGAGAAAAGTCCAAATCGAACGTTTTTCTTCCCTACTGCGCACAGAAAACAAAGGAATATTTTCACTCTTCTCACTAGAACACAGGGATCATCAACTCGCAGAACGTGAAGGATCGAAATGTAAAAACATTTTACCAGAACACCCATGAACACATCCAAAAATCATAATGTTTGTAAGAAATATGTGTGGATTTGAGAAAAAAAAAAGGTCTGAAATTTAGAATGTAACTTCTTAAGGAAAATGTAATTGTTTTCATTATTTTTCTGAAGAAGGTAATTCATTTGCGCCTATTTATTTTTGTTGTGAGATTTTTTTTCCACTTCATGTGAAAAATAAACCTACGCAACGACAGCATCTAATGTACCTTCACATACCTTACTGTAGGCGAACCAAATACGTGTACGTCCGCCTCGTTATTCAAGCCATTATATATATATTTTTTTTCTTAATGCCAAACTATCTTGCGGGGTACTGGCTGGTGAGGACGCTAGCACTGCACAGCGAGCTGGTGGACAGCAGAGTCTGCCCTCGGCAGCCCGCTGCTCTCCCTATGGCCGCTGCCGTACCTCTGAGGCAGACTGTCAGACGCACCAGACAGGACGGGAGGAGCTGGACCACGGGCTCGGGCTCCGGCGCTGCGCGCGCAGCCCCGCTGTCAGCGGATCAAATCCTCCTTCAGCTGTGCGAGCCGAGCCTTGCAGCGCAGCGCAGCGCGGGGGGCTGGCTCGGTTTTGACAGCGGTGCCCCGTCAGCTGCCTCCGATTTTATCCGTTCGGTCTGTTTCCGAGACTCTCGATTCAGAGGGGGGGGGGAATAATAAAAAAAAAGAACCCGTCTACGCCGTTCATTCTCGGAGGGGCAAATGCTCGAAGATCGAATCCCGTTGGAAAAATCAGAAATTACGATGCTGAATGCATTGCTGGACCAGGAAAAAAGCTACAATACGCGATGCCTAGTTAGGTCCACCTTTGGCTCTATTGCATTGTTCTGGATCAGGACTGAAATACTGCTAAGGTAAGGACCGTTTTCGCGTAGCCTCGGAAATTTTAGTGGAAAGAACGCTTTGTCGTGTGAATACTAAACACTTCCCTGCTTGAGAAATGTATTTATTGTTTTTGTATACGCAGCATTCTGAGACTCCCTGCGTAAAGCTGAATTTCTACATCGTATCTTCAAAATGGACAGTAAAACAAAATGCCAACGCCTTAAACAGAACCATTGAAAGCAGAAAACTAGTGATAAAGCTGTGTATTATGTCATTCTTATCCATTCGTCATTTAGGGTGATTAAATGCCCTTTACAATGTTTAGATGGTCGCACAGGTGCGTTGGCAAAGACTAGGAAGCGTCCTTAAAGCGACAGAAGGTAATTTCCTGAAAGCGTCGTTTCTCAGTTGAATGGAACCATCATTGTTGTTTTTATATTTTTTTTCCTGCGAATTTAAACCTATCCTATCAGTACTCGGTCGTATATATTTCGATATTTTTTTAATGTTGATTTTACAGATACAATGACTTTGTTAACGTCACAATGAAGAACGCGCACCAAACAGGCAGAATAAAACAGTAGTAAAAGGAGTGACTTGGAAAAAAAAATCCCCAGTAGTAAATATGGGGTTTTGTTGAAGCACTCACGAAATTCCACACCCGTTTCTGTTTTGTTTAGGGTTAGCAATGTTTCCAAACAGCTGCTGTATTGTGCTGTAATTGTAGAGGTCCCCTGAGCCAGCCTTGGACACAGTCAGATGGATGTGCCGTGTACGAGATCTGTGACTGCACAGGCTCGGAAGGCTCTCATTAATAATCATACCAGAGGCACTTGTGTAGCTTCGCCAGCGTTCAGTAGTGGCGTCGCTAAAAGCTTGACCGTCGAGCCTTTTAACCCGAGAAAGTTAAATAATGTATTACTTTTGTTTATCGATTTCGCTAAAATGCTTAGATGCTAATGATGCTTTTGGCAGTCAACAGAGGCCCATCTGGTTTCTTACAACGCAGCTATCGCAGCACAGTCTGATACCTTACTGCGTTAAGTTCAGTAGAATCGTACAAATCGTGTTACTCATTCACTATGTCTGAAAACATTGGGTTTCGGGGTGGACTCGCACAAAACCCCCGCTTTTATAATACATGTATTGACATCTGATGACCTTCTCTTTTCCCCCTCTCCTTTCCGTGAAATTATAATATGGCTCCTGTGTCCTCCCTTCTTAGTTTGGCTGATAACCAGCTCCCTCCTTGCTGAGGGCAATCCCTTTGTGTTTCATAAATGCTCCTGACTTTTGTTTGTTTTTATTAAATACAGTCTTAAACCTGAGCGTTTCTTGTGAAATTGGTGTTTAAAGAGAGGTGGCGAAACGTTTGTTTAAAGGCCGTATTTATTTTAGTAGTGTGGGCTTCAGTATCGTTTTAGATAGTAAACTCTGCTAAGAAATACCTACACGACGAACAGAAGGGTTGCTTAAAAAATAAAAAAAAAGCTATTGTTCTTCTTGTGTAAAGTTATATTAAGGCTTTTAAACAAATGAGCGGGTGTTGCAATTAGTATAGAGGCAGAGCCAAAAGGTACAAATGTTACTGCTGATTTACTGAAAATATTCTTACAATATATGAAAGAATATATCACCTATAATATCAAGACTTGGAAGCTTATTTTTCCTCTTTCTTCTGTCAGTTTTCACCTTTTAAAACAATCTAAATGAACACAATAAGAGCCGCCAGGTGTGATCTCCAATGTCAACTCCAACACATTGTTTCTGTATTTCATTGCCAATCTAGCTAGCTCATATTCTGAATACTTTTTAAACTGAATGAGAAACAGATGAGCAGGAAACTCGAATATGACAAGTTTCTTTGCTCTCTTAATGAGAGAAAATAATGATTTTGGGTTGTCGTTCAGCAGTTTGCTTTGAAGAAGTCGGCCTCTCATCACCATAGAATATTACAGTAAACACAATGATTTGTGATTCTGAATCAATGCACTACTGTTAAGTTTGATCCTGGTCCTTAAAAGATAGCAGCTGTTCTGAATAGCACAGTTCAGATCACTATCCATGGTAGTGATCTTGATTTTAAAGGGAAAAAAGGCATTTATGGCATGTGATTTTCCCCTTGGTCAAATGCAAAATATGTACTTTAGTGTTTTGGAGAGGATAAAGTGGCATAAGAATTATTGTCTTCTTATTGTTTTCAGATGCTTCACATATTCACATGGGTCTTGTACATTTAAGGACATCACTGCTAACACGTGAAGAAAAGGAAATCTGCTGTTAATAGCTTATATTTTTCACACTTTTTTGATAGGAGTGGGGTTTATTGATTCAAGGGATTTTTGAACCATGAACTCAGGCAAAGTGAAGCGTATGGAATTGAGTGAGGTTTATTTGCTTAACACTTCTGGGAGGAAATATTTATTAATGAGAAGATTTCATAATATGGCCAATATCAAATATGTTTAAAACAGTATATCTTCAAGCATATTGACAATGAAGGAAGTAACTTAATTTTACATGTAAAACGTTATTAGTGGATTATGGATGGCATGGTGGTTAACATTGTTGTCTCACAGAGCTGAGGCTGTGAACCAGTTCCAGACCAGGGGTGCTATCTCTATAGAGTTTGTATGTTCTCCCATGTTTGAGTGTGTTTCATCTGGGCACTCCAGTTTTCTCCTGCATTCCAAAAGCATAGTATGTTAACTAGCTTCTAGGAAAAGTGTTTCTAGGTTTGAGTGTGTGTGTCTGTGTGCCTGCTCTTTGATGGACTGGCATCCCATCCAAGTTGTACCCTGCCTTGTGCCAAGTGCCTGCTGGGATAGGCCCACACCACTGAATTAGAAGAGGTGGTTGGAGAATGGATGGATTGAGAGATTAGTGGATTTTATGTGGTCATGAAAAAGTCATAAATGTTCAGAAACTAATGTGCAGATCTTGCTCTTGAATGTAGTATCTCCCTCTTTTTGTGACACAAAATTGACTTGGCCTCATCTTAAACCAGAATGGTGTTCACTTAGAACGAGATATATAAATAAACTTGTTATTTACTCTACAAAGTCATTACAATTAACTGACAAGAAAGCAACAGTCACGAATGCACCATTATTGCCGACTGTGAAATTGGGCACAGAAATGAGTCAAAATGACATCACTGACCATGCAATTAAAGACACCATTTTGCAGCTGGAAAGTTTACATCAACGTACTTGCTCTGTTCTGAGTAGTTTCCAGGAGATGGGCTGATCTTTTCCTGTAAGAAGCTGTTTTATTGTTGAGTTGCACTGAACAGTGACACAGCATGCATCATATACATCATATACATGTAATAATACATCACAATAAAGGCCTTGTTAGCACAACAAAACAATAAAACAAAAGAATAACTGATGACATAATTTCTAAAACATGTTTTAGAGCTAATTCCACCAGAAAGGTATCTTCTAAACTTTTAAACTTGAGAGATCATGTAAATGCTCTGCTCAGCTGTCTGTGAAAGACAGATGATGCAATGAAGTAATGTTTGTTAACCTGGGATCTCAGCCCCCTTGAAGGCACACAGCTAAACACAGAGGATTGTTGAAATCAAGGGTATTAAGTTCCAATTAAAATCAATCAATCCAAATGTTTTTATTTTGATATAGTGCCTTTCAGTCCAGAGTATTGGCATGGCAATTTACATCAATCCATCAATTTTCTACCCACTTGATCAAAAAAGGAGTGCAGGGGAGCTGGAGCCTATCCTAGTAAGCAAAGGGCTCAAGGCAGGATACACTCTGGACCGGACGCTAGTCCATCGCAGGGCACACACACAGACACACACAATCACACACACACAACCACAGCAGGGCCAATTTTCCCAGAAGCCAGTTAACCTACCAGTATGTCTTAGGTCTGTGGGAGGCACTTTACATAAATAATACAAAAAAGTAGTGCAGTAAATTCAGTTTATGGCAGGACTAGATTTAAAGATCTGAGTCTCACTTAGTCTCAAATTTCAGATTGTAGTTAAAAACCAACAACTGGCGGTGTCAGATCCATGCAGCAGAACTTTAACAAGCCACCAACAGCAGTTTGATTATGAAAAGTGTGCCTTTGAAATTTTGGACCAATTAGATTCAAAATTATGTAGAATAGGGAAAGTAAGAGGCATGGATCTTCTATATAGGAAATAGCAGGGATCGTTTCCATGATGAAATGTTAAAAAAAGACTAAAAGACATTTATGGAATCCTTCTTAGGTGTGATTTTCAACGTTTCTGTAGGCCTGTTTTTCGGCTGTCACATGAATTAACCCAAGCACACAGTCAGGCGCCCTGTTGACCACCAAGACCACGACAGTATAAGGAGATTTACCTTATTACTTATCATGGGGTTTGTTGCACAAATGTACTCTAAACAGGTTTAAAAACAAAGGGCGCACTAAAATTTCTTTCACTTTGCAATTTGCATTACATAAACCCAATAATTAAAATACGTATTTCATTAATATCTCAGGAATACATTACGGATGCGTTACAAAGAAAAATATCGCCTTGACAGCGTTTGCCGGCTTCCCCACACGCAGGTGACTTTTACTGGGTTACGATTTACTGCATCCAACTTGAAACCCACCCTGGATTTATTTCCCAACAGCCATTTTAACTGCAAAGAAAAACCAGTATGATTTTAATGTAGCATTACAGTTTTTTTTCATATACATAAAATACAGATTTTTTGGGGGGAGACCTACATAATCTGTAAATAATTTGAAAAGAAAACACATTCAGGTCATGAAACGTAGACAATTCGTTAGCCTGTGTTCGCATCATTATTGACATGTGCTCACAGGCACCGCATAGTGGTCTCTTTGGGGTACTGCCCTTCAGACTTCAGACTATTGAATTAAACAAATTGGACGTATTCCAATTAGTATTAAACTGCTAATTACTAGTCTTAGTATTCATAAAATACAAAATGTCTCTATTGTGTTGTTACTTTTGAGTGTCACATTTATTTCTCTGCCTTTTTAGCGCTTATATTAAGCTATTGCTTAAACCGCCCGTTAAGGTGCAGTTTAGTTACTGTATATGACAGCAATATTGTGCATGAGCACAGTAAATCATAACAACATATTGCATCTTGTGTGTGGTGCTACACTTCTTTATTGTCAGTGATTAACCCTAAATTTCTGATTGTCCATTACAAAGGCCTGGAGGTTAACCGACATGAACTTGTGTGCCCTTGTGTTGGTAGTCTGCGCTAGAAGCATACTGCAGGGCAGAAGGAAGATATATTGTAGAGCATCATCCATTATTCATTATGAGAAAGCTTGAATTCCTGTGAAAGGTTGTGGCAGCTGGAAAGAATGGGGCACAAGGCAGTCAGGAGACCAATCCACTACAGGGACCACAAATGGGTGCACTGGGACAGTTAGGGACACCAATTAATCTAGCCAGCATGTCTCTGACCCCCAGAGTACTCAGTAAATACTGGGAGAGAACATGCAAACTCCACTCTTATTAATGCCTTATTTAAAGACGCTTAAATGAATGTCTCAGAGTTTTAACTAACCATTCCAGTTGTTTGTATTTTAAGAGGAAATGCAGATATCAGCTGGATCTTTGTGAAGGATCACTTGTTTAAGGATGGCCCATGGCGTTTTAAAATTACGTCTTGCAAAAGTGTTGCATAGACTTTTTTCCACATCAGTCATCTTTGTTTTACTCTGAGATGAACAGATGTTGATGTTTTCCTTAGCGGTGAACTCTGTCTGAGTGGAAGCCATGTACTGCCAATGTTTCTTTTGTTTTGTGCTGTTATATGTCTGGGAAGAAACGAGGACACAATCCAAGGAGATGCATAGCAGTTCACCAGGTTTGCTGTGCAGTGTCCACACCACGATTTTGTCTTATTGTTTTGAGACACTTGATTGTTGAAATCAGGCCTATTATAAATTTGGGGAGTTATTTTTGGAGTTGTTCATTTTTTCCTTTTTCAACAAACTTTTTTTTTTCTATCAGCTTGCAAGCCTTCTGTTTGTTTTCTCAGACTTGTGAGGGGTTTGGGGTGAATCTGCTGGAGCTCCCTGGGCAAAAGTGAAGTGGGTGGGACAAAGCCACTCTGGGTGGGTTTTCAAACAGAGGTGCTACTTGCTAGATCAGTGTTGTCCAAGAGTGTTATTCATGTTACTCATTTACCCTACGTTAGTAACATCCAACCATCCATTTTCTACAGAACTTCTTCCCAACACAAGGTTGCAGGTGGGGTAGACGCTTATCCTGGCAAGCAATGGGAGCAAGACCGGATACACCCTGGACTGGACACCAGTCCATCACAGGACACACCAGGGCCAATTTCCCAGAAGCCAATTAACATAAAATTAACCTATGTCTTTTTACTGTGGCAGACTCCACACAGGGTGCCCCCCATTTCTGTAATTGAACCCAAGAACCCAACACTGCGAGGCAGAAACGCTAACCATAGTGCCACTATGCCACCCATTAGGGAACATCATTTGAAGTTCGGTCGTTCATTTACTTTACTAAACGTAGAATCCAGTGCTCTAATGGTAGATATTGGTAGCTGCTTGTACATATCTGGCCAACAGCGTCACTAGCTTACGGTTAATGTGCTGGCTGTGCCAAATTACCAATTTTGTTGTTCCTATGGCTTGAGGAGGAAACGTGTGAAGCGAACGGTTTACATCGCCATCCCGAAGCAAGTCTTTATGGGGTCTGTTCGAGATGTGTCTGTGCTGGAGAGCTCAGCTCTAAATTTGGCTACAATTTGGCTACAACTGACGTTTCGTACTTCTTCGCCGCTTGTGGTTTGCAGCTGTTGGTTGATAGACTGTATAGGGAAATTCAAAGTGGAAAGAAAAAGTGGAAAAAACAATGACAACAGAGACGACAGTAAATTAAAAAAAAAAAACCTTCAGCCAACTGATTGTTTCCAGCAGAAGACAATTGTTGCCGCGGAGACTCCTCATGGCAGTAATCAGACTGGACGTTCATTCAAAACAAGCAGCGGTCTCCGGGCAGTTTTGTTTAGACAAATCTAGCAGAGTTCTCTAAATAAAACTGTCTGCCTGGCGATTGGTACTTGTTTTGAACGAACGATACAAAAGGGGCAAATAAGAAGTAGAGCCAAGGTTGACACTCTGTGGTATTTTCTTATCTTATTTTGTTCCAAAAGTCCTATTTTTGTGTTTTTTACTATTGTTGTGCAGTTGTTAAAAGACAGACGTACGTCTCCCATAGCTGTTTTTTTTTCTTGGGGTGGTTCTGTTTGGCAGAAGTCAGTAATGTAATATAAATCACCCATTAGGACAAACATTAATTTTGGCATGCAGTTTAAATATTTCTTTTAAATAATTTTAAGGGCTGTTATATCATCTACAGCTGTATGAGACGGTTAAATGCTTTGCACATTAGCAATCTGCACAACAAATGTTATGTTGGAAAACAGGACTTGGGCTGTGTAGCCTCTCGCAGGAAGATAAAGGGAAAGTAAACTGTTTGATAAAAATATGGAAACCATTAATGTGGATGGTGAGGAATTCTGTCTGGGCTTTTAGGTTGGTATGCTGGTAAAAACAATGCCCAGCTAGTCTCCTGTGCACAGAGTTCAGACTTCAGATCCTTCCCCTTTTGACTGGAAAAAACAGGCTCATGTGTTTACCAAGAAAAAGGGATTCACATGTTGCATCACAACAATGATAATATGATGATGAGAGTGATTACAATGATATGCAAATATCGACGTGCACAAACTATTCTCACTGTTTTCAGCTTTCTGCAGTATTTGTGGAGATGAAAACCACATTTATACACCCAGTTGTAATCAACATTTTGATTATAACGTATGCAATTTCTTCCACTGGCATAGGTTATAAGCAGAAGAGTCTTATTTCACTTCGGTATTAAGTCATTTTCCAGTGTCGTTGCTCTGTTCTGCTTGTGGGTACAAGAGACCGAGGAAAGCAGAGAATCCAGCAACTACTGTCAGGTTGTGACAGTCAAGACCTGATTAAACAGAACCCTGCGTGGAACAATAGTTCTGGCGGTAGAGTATTTTGATCTGATCTGATATTAGGAAGTTCATTTTCTGAAGGAAAGGCATTCCATCCCATTGTTCAAGCTACGAGTTAACGTCTGATGACGGTATTGTATTCTTTAATGGACTGTGCATATCACCCTGCAGCTCACAGCTGGCAGCCCAATGAAGCTAAGCAGGTGTGAGCCTGGTCAGTACCTGGATG